GAAACAACAACAAAGAGACCATCTTGAAAGCAGCCAGAGAAAACTGACAAATTGTTTTCAAAGAAACAGTAATTTGAGTGTCTGCTGACTTCTCATCAGAAGTGGTAAAAGAACATTTTTAAGGTGCTAGAAAATAAGTCAACCCAGAATACACAGAATTCTATATCCAGCAAAAATGTGCTTTAAGAATGAGGCATATTTAGGTAAAAGGAAACTACAGGAACTCCTCACCTGTAGGCCTACACTAGTAAAAATGATAAAAGAATTTATTTAAACTGAAGGGAAATAGTAACAGACAAACTCAGAAATTGGGGAAGGAACGAAGACCATGGAAATAGCAGCTATGGTGGGCACAGTATTTGCACTCAAAATCTCCTCTAAGGAACGACTTTTTGCTGTTACTGCTATGGGCACTATCAGCACACAGCCTTCAGCTCTCAGCATCTTCAAAGATCAACTCAGTTACTTCGCACAAAGTCAGACCCTTCTCAGGGCATCCCATATTCAACGACTGGTTGAGATGAACGTCGTATAAAGGCCCAGCCATGCTGATTCAATGTAAGACCTCTCTGAGGCCATTCTAACTCCACAGCTCCCCATGGGGATCAGGTGAGGGCTGAAATTGCAGATTGACTTCCCCCTCTACAAACTTGCCCTTCCTTTCAGGTGTTTCTTCCAACTGTCCCCCCTAATAAACATCCTCTATGAAAAACTCTCTGAGACTGATCCCGGGAGAGCCTGCAACAGCATCAACAACTCAAAGGAACTGATATTTTTAAATAAAATGGTTTACTTCTAACACTTTCCAGTGCTATTTCTGGTACTTTTTTATACTACTTTCCTTAAACACAAATGAGATTTTGTTCTGAAGATTGTTTCTAGTTTTGGGGGACAGATAAGGCATATATACTCTAGCTAAGAAAACTTCTAAATTGTTTGCTTGGTGTTCATATATGAACAGTGTTGTTTCTTCCTGCAAATAATTAACTTATTGTGACTCGTACATGAGTTTTGTTACAACATCCAAAGCTATTTCTTAACCACAGGTCTTCTCCCTAATCTTAGGCAGAAATTATCAAATGTATGTCAGTGATAACAAGGAAGAAAAGTGTATCAGTTGTTACTAAATTTTAGTCACTGTGCAGAGTGATTTCTCAGATACAATATAAAACCAAATAACAACTGGGTTATTTTATTAACTAGCACCATTAACCGAAATACTCATGACCTTATTAGGAGGGAACTTACCTACTGTGGAACTGTCTCATCTCTTTATTTCCATTCTCAACCTATTAGCGTCCTTATATCTAAGTTCTCATCTTACTCCTCAATTTTAGAAGTTTTTCTCCAATTATTCAAGGTTAAAAACTCCCTTCCCTTCTCTTCTCAGATCTTGCTCTCTGTTATTGAGAGGACAGAGATAATTATCATTCTTAGGACACAAACACAAAAATATTTAATGCCTATTCTACTGTATTTGTCTCTATGAGGACTCTCTGGAATCTCCCAGTCCATGAATGGATTGTGTTGTATTTCCAGGTACAACACACCTGGAATTTTCCTCCCAGTCCTCCTCTTTCCCTGTACTGAATTTAACATCTTCCTCTGCAAAGAAACCTCCCTTCTCAGCCACCAATATGTTGCAGCAGAATCATGGACTTTCTAAAATGGACATTCAAGGTAGGAGCTCTTGACTCCTGCTGCAAAACAAATTTTTTTTACCAAGTGCCACTCACACTGAATGAGACACTGCTTCCACCTTATTCTCTGAAAATGTTGCTTTATTATATTATTTTCCTGTTCACAAAACAACAGGTGGTTCCTCAGTGCTTACTGCACAGTATCCAAGTTCCTCTGTTTAGCTATCAAGGTCCCCCAAAATGCAGCCTTATTTCCTATGACTGTGTAACACACAATCTCTACTCCACCAGGTGAGGGTTCTTTCCCTCCCCAACCACCTTGCCTTTGCTCATGCTGCACATCCACACCTGCCTACTGGTAGCTCTGCCTTTCCCAGACTTCTCATTCAAGACCCAGGTCAAGACCCATCTCCTCCATAAAGCCTTGGACAAGTCCATCCCACTATAACTTCTCCCATCTTTGGATTTTTACTAGTTTCATAGACATTTTCAAGATGAACTGATTTTTTTTAAATGTTCTCTTAAATTGTCATCATAGCTTGACTTTTGCCTAATTCAGCTTGCTAATAACTTTTAGACACTATCCACAGACACACACCCCTTCCATATACACTGTTTTTAACAATGACTTTCGATTAATTTCATAATCGCTTAAGCATGGATGTTTAGAGAAAACATATCTAAAATTACTATATGTAGATTCACAACTAACATGAACTAGAAAAGGAAGGTAGAACAGAAATTAATCAGGACAAACCCTTTTTTCCCCACAATTGCTTTTGTAAAACACCATATGATTTCGCAATTGCTTTTAATCTCATGTTCCATCTTTTGCAAACTTGCTGAAACTACTTATCAGCCGTCTTGATTTTCTTTCTTCGTCTTATTACTGCCTGCCCCCTAGTGGAGCATAATGATAAATGGTCAAAATTAGTCCAAGGAAGAAAAAAGTGGAGAATTCCTTTTCAGTAATTCGTAATCTCAGCATCAGTGACTTTTATAAAAGGTAGAATCATATTAACTGGAATAGCAAAATATAATTTCAACTCAAGGAAAACATAGAAGATAATTGGCTAAAATAAGGAGGAAGAATAGGTGTGGGGTGAAGGGAACAGGAAGAAAGGAGACCAGTCTCAGAATTGCAAGCTTGCTCTGCAGTGGGCCGTTCAGACGTTTTCATCTTTGCCTTCAGGTGTTTTCGGAATAAACCTTGTTTACCACCTCCCACAATGCTTGAATTTATAAGCAAAATGAGCAAAGATGAAGGTAAATAGGTTTTTTAATGCTGTATTTTACACCAAAGTCGTTAGCTCCCTTGCTCCTTTGTGCGTTTACTTTGTACATTAGTTAAAGTGAATTATTGAGGTTTGGCAGTATGAAAAACAAAGCAGTACTAACTAGTAATAAAGATGAGTTTATGCCCCAGGTGGCTTGCTTCTCATTTACTATAAATTATTTCATGGTAAATTTATCACGCCAAATCACTGTACATAATTTGCTTTCTTGTGTCTTGATTCCAAACTTTTGATAACTTTTAAATTATATAAGCACAGACAGTAGTAGTTGATATATGTAGTATCCCTTAGTTGTGTTTAGAAATAGCTTCAAAATTCAAATCTTTAAACCATTAAAATTCAACCTTGTCAATTATGTTTTAGTCTTTTGAGGGGAATGAAATAATCATTCATTTAATGTATAGTGGGCATACAACATTATATTAGCTTCAGGTGTATGACATAGTGATTTGGCATTTATACGTCTCACAATATGTTCACCACACTAAAAGTAGTAACCATCTACCACCATGCAAAGTTTTCAAGCTATTTTATATATTCATATATATATATATGGTCACTTACATATATGGTCTTGATCTTGATTTTGTTTTTCCTTTACCCAAGTCAGTGAAACTTGACATCAATGGCTTCCCTGCTGAGTTTGGTCCTACACAGATTTCTGTACAAGGTTTCCCCAACAAAATCTCAACTACTGAAAATGTCAGATCCCTTGGCTTGTTTTATGAGTAAATATTCCACTAAGTTTATAACCAATATTGGCTTAATTTTTTTCTAGTGGTGCTATCAATAGTGGTGCTTTCTAGTGAAAAGCATAATGCTAAATATTGAGGGAAGTTGCCTATTCAAATGTTTAGTGATGCACACAGATGTGCCTGGGTGTGCCCGGGTGTGACTCTGCCACATACAAGTAATGACAGGCAAATCATTTCGCCTCTCTAAGCTTCAGTCTCTGCCTTCGTAAAATGGAGAAATGTCTTCTGTGCCTATTTCACTGCAGATCAAAGGAGAAAAAGTGTGTGAAAAATCTGCACAGAAAGGTACAGTAGTACAGTGTGGTTATTTTGTGTGTGCTCACCAGTAAGATTATCATGTGGAAACAAATTTTTTTTTGATGGAAGACAGACTGTATTTTTAAGTCATCCATATGAGAAAAAATACTTTTTCTTCTTTTAATTATCAAATTATAAAATTTAAAACCAACTACACTGTTTCCTTGCAACTGCTCCCATTTACTAAAAGTGAAACCTGAAAACTCCCTCCCACATCAACTCCTACCAACCCTCTATAGTGAAACCAGGACACCCCCACACAGTTCCAAGTTCTCTGCAACACCTACGGGAACCTAGGTATTGAAGAGTGTGTCCTCTAGCACAGAAGATGTCTTTTTCTCTTTTTTTTCCTTTTTATTGAATTTATTGGCATGACACTAGTTAACAAATGATTATACAGGTTCCAGGTGCACAATCCTATCACCCCAAGTCAAGTCTCCATCCATCACCATTTATCCCCTTATACCCTCCCCCACCGCCCTCCACCCTGCAAAAAATGTCACTTACAGCCTACACACATTGAAACTAAATACAGACATGCATCACAGATGCACCACCAATGAGTACATTATATTTTTTAAAGCACCTGGTCATAGAAAGTGATAGAAAGCAATAAAATTTTCTATTTTATACTGTTAATAATATGGACCTAAATGAGTTGGGATTATTATTTAATTTTTTTGAAAGGGAAAAGAAGATAAAAATAACCCAGATGACTTGGATTGCTACTAGAAATTATTTAATTTATTCTGCCTTGTTCAAAAAAGGGGGGAGCGGGGCAAATCATATAAATGAGTATACTATAGTTGGATACAAATAAAATAAGTATGGCAAAGAGGAAAATAAGGCTAATAAAGTGAAACGAATCTGGGAGCAGCCCCATCCCCCACATCTATGACTGTGTTTATCTTGTATTGCTCCGTAAGAAAGGCAAAGACAGCTCAGGAAAAGCTGACACCAGGTTTCTCACCAGCCATTCTCCTATCACTCTTCCAAAGACCATTCAAACTTACCAGCCGCTAAGAAGACTGTCAGTATTGGTAGTAGCTGTAGGTCAGAAGTTCTCCCAAAGTAGGGCATTTCTGTTCTCTTATTTTCTGCCCTTCACTCACTCCTTCTCCTCCACATAGGTATGAAAGGAGCTGTGGACATGGTGAAGTTCTTTCTGTCAGCTTCTCCGTGCTCAATCCTCTCAGCCCATCAGCAGCGGGACACTCCTGTCCTACTTGTCCCTTCCTTCAACTCTGGGTTTCAGACTGAGAAAACTCTTGGAACAGAAGAAACTCTTCTCTGGAACTTGACACAGCAATAGATTTCCTGTGTGAAGCACTGAAGCAAGGACGGAGGAAGCAGATTGATTATCTTTCAGCTCATTGGTCCTTCTCTCACTTCTGCTCTACACATAAATTTTACAGTAAAGCATTGAACGTGCCCAAAATAAATGGATTTGTCTAAACTTGGACTAGAGAGCAAAACAGACTATTTATCTATTTTTGGCCCATCCCTTTAGACTTCCCAGGGCATGATAACTTTTTAGAAGCTTTCTCCAAGTTGAAGAGATGGACAGCCTCAGTAAAAAAGTTTGTAATAAAGTATTTGTCCTTGAAAATTCTTTCATGAAATTACTGCCTATAATATTTACAAATCTAAGTTCATCATAAGTGTACTACTTTCTTATTGCTACTATAACAAATTATCATAAACTGAGTGATCTGAAACAACAACCATGAATCTTACAGTTCTAGGGGGCAGATGTTCACAATGGACCTTATGGGACTAAAATCAGAGTGTGGACAGGGCTATGTTCTTTCCGGACACGTGGGGAGATTCTGTGCACTGACTTTTCCAGCTTCTAAAGGCCACCAGTGTTTGTAGGTTTGTAACTGCATCATTCCCATCTCCTGTTCCCCAGTCACATTCTCTGATTATAACTCTCCTACCTCCCTCTTATAAAGACACTGTGATTATATTGAACCACCCACATAATCCGGGATAATTTCCCTATCTCATAATCCTTAACTTAATCACATCTGCAAATTCTCTTTTCCCACGTAAGTTTGCCTATTCACAAGTTTCGGAGGTTAAGTCATAGACTCCTGATGGGGTCTGGGGATGGCATTCCTCTATCACGATTTTGTATTTATTTCTATCATTTTCACTTTGAAGAGCTAGACTGATCATTTGAACCAAATTACAAATAAATACCCATCCTTAATTGTCACAGGGCTGTTATCAAGACTTACAAAAAACCCCAAAAAACTCTGCCTTCATGTGCTAGTTCATGTACATTTAGATTATGTTTAGAGGAAAGAAATTTTCTATGTGCTAAGAATTTCTTATGCCAAGGCAAAACTCCCCAGGAAGGGGAAGAAAGCATTGCAAACAGGAAAAAGACTAAGCAACATGCATTTTTTTTTCTTTTAAGTTAGCAGTTTCATCTTTCCTCTTGCCAAACAGTAAGTAAACTATATATATCACCCCCCACCCCACCCTGCTTCATCTTCTCCAGCTTTCCTTTCAGTGAATCAGTTTGATTCACACAGAGAAATCGGGTGCTGGAGGGCATGTGATGCTTGAAGACATGGGCTATGTGACAATGGTGGAAACAAAAATGACTTCCCTTCTGCCTAATATTGTACCAGATGTCAGGAGATCCATGATGAACTGCCATTTGAAATATAACATTCTGGCTTCCACCACATTGATGTTAAGGTTCATAGTAGTTAAGACCATGAGTTTTGATAACAGATAGACCTAAGTTTCTGCTGGGCAATTACTAGTCTGATGATACTAAGTGAGTTTCTTATTCAAGTCAGTAACCTGTTTTGTTCCACTTATATTGTACTTACATGAGTGTTTTCTCATGTCATCAAAATTTCTTGCTGATCATTTATTTTAATGCCTGTTCAGTGACAGCCAGAACTAATGCACAGAAGGGCTACATGACCTGCTTAATGTCTCAGAGTGACTTGGTGACACAGCTGAAAGTAAAACTCACATTTCATGTTTGCCAGCCCCCTGTTTTTTTCCACCCAACTCCTCTCATGTGAAATTTCAGGCAACTCCCCATGTACTCATCTCAGGTCAGACCACAGTCTGCAATCAGCAGTTTAAGAATCATGTGAATGGTATCAAAAACCATAGAAATCTCTAAGCAGATTTGGCAGGATGCAACTTCTTCCCCACCTCCTTTATCACCTCCGTCCCACTGCCAACCTCTCAGCTCCCACCTTTACTTCTTGAGGAGGCAGGTGTTTGGAAGAACAATAAAGGGACTGAGTGTTTGTTAGCATAACCATCCACCAAGATATGCCATGAAAGTCAACATAACAAAAGAGAAAGTTGTTTCTCTAGTACATGCACATCTCTGAAACAACTAAAGGACCCATATATTTCTTGTCTGTGTCCCTTGGGCACCAGGCTCAAGAAGCAGAGCAGGAGAGCAGAGCGAGACCAGGAAAGTGGTACAGCTCAAACCAAAAATCCCAGACTTTTCCTCTACCAGTCTTTCAAGCCCTCTGCAATACTACCAATTAAGAATCAGAGCACACAAAAGAGTAACAACACAAAGTGACTGCACTTCATGCTGTGGTGGCCAAAACAAAACGACTTGGTGAGTTTTGGTGATCCTTAGTAAATTAGAGCTGCTTTAAGACAAAATGCCCCCAAATGTGCATAATTGACTTAATAAAAAATTATCTGCCTGTGAATGTTTTTGAAGTACACTTTTTTTGTCTTTCAGTTAGATGCACTTTGTTGTCTCCAATGTCAGATTCAGACTCAGCCACACCTCAAACCAGTTAGAAGACATTGCTCTCTTGCATTGGCACACTTCCCTTTCACGTGGAAGCTTGTATGGATCTTGAACACTCACAGCCCAGACACTAAGGACCTGCTATTACTGACCCCTTATCTTCCAGTTCATGCTCTATCACCTCCCGAATCTGAGTCCTGACTGGTGAGAACTCAAGGACTTGCCTGCCTCTAATGCCTTAGCTCAATTTTCTGGATGTGTATCTTTGCAAAAATGGGCCAGCACCTACGTACTTTGTCATTTGTACTTTCTGTAAACTCTCTGAACTGTGTGCCCTTCCACAGTGTGCACACACATACATACCCACACAAAGATGCTACTGAACATTTGTCCCAAGTCCCCCCTTAATCTACCCCATCCTGCTGTTGCCCAAGTACTAATGTAACAGTTTCAAAGAGGTGAAAGAAAAATGCCTAGCAGTGTGAAGAATTTCAAGGAACTCACACTCAGTTCTTTATTGTACTCCCCTCTCTGCCTTCATAGCACAGTGATTACAGATGCAAGGCTAATGATTTGCCTCGGAGACACCATTATTCAATGGCTGCAAAAAGTGGCCACTCTGCTGGCCATGTCCTCTTTTCCTGTTCTCCAGTTCACTTCTCTACAAACTTTGTAGACCCGAGCTCTGAAGACAACTCATCTGAAATCCTGGATCTCCTTCCACGTACAATCACTAAATGTGCTAGTGAGTAACTTAAAAGAGCCCACAAAATGAATAGATCTACTTTTACATTCTACTGTATCATTGATAATCACCTTGAAAATTTTCACTTTTAAAGTACAGTTGATGTTGTGTCACCTCCATAATTCTCCTTTAAAAGTTAGACAAAACATATACTAGATGAGAGTTAATCATTATTTTTCAAAATAAATTCACAGAATGGACAAAGAGAACAATTTAGAAATAGATGTTTGAAAGTAAAATATGTGCATATATCAAATAAAAAGTAAAACCAGGTCAAAGAAATTAGTAATCACATATTCTTTTACCCAATATCAATGTTAGACCTCAGTGGTCACATTTATAGTAAATAGCCAAGGTCAAGCCCTTAGCTTAACACCCAGGCTCCATTCTAAGCACTTTAATAACATGGCCTCATTCAATATATAAAGTAAATATCCTGGTTATCCCTATTTTTTCAGTTTAGAAGTTAAGTAAATTGTCCAATCGTGCTGCTAATTAAGTGATGGAGAAAGGATTCAAGCCCAAGAAATTTCACTCCAAAGTCTGTTTCTTAGTTATGTGGCTAATTGCTTTACTAGGTATTATTTTTATTCTGTCTTGTCTCCAATGCATCATCCACATCCCTGACCCTTTCTAAATCTAGTCATCTACTCACTCACTCACTCTTTCTTCCAGTTGGGCACTCTTACAACTGCATAGTTTGTCTGTTTTGAAGAAAGAGAGAGGCAGAGAGAAAGAGAAAAAGAAACTGCACTTCTCGAATCATATTTGCCATAAGAGCATTCTCTGCTGCCCCCTGGAGATAATTTGGTGAAACCAAAGTTAATGTTTTCATAAATTCATTTAGCAAATTCAGTGACAGCTGCCCTTTGAGAATTTGATCACAAAGTATGCTGACATGCTAAACATTGCACATTTATTTATATCTTTTAGAAACTAGTTAAACAAAGCAAGTGGCTTCTGGATGGATAGTGTAGATATTACAACCTGAAGGAATATTACTGAAAAGAAGAATAATGAATCTTCTGAGATCCCAAGATGGTTTAATAAAAATAGTAAAGAGCTAAATGGGTGGATGGATGGATGGATAAATGGATGGATTAATGAATGGAAGATAGATTCAATGTCTCATTTCAGAGAAATCTGAAGTCGATGGTCATAGGTTAGGTACCCTGGAAAGCAAACCTTGAAACAGAGTTTAGTGTGAAGAATGGTTATTAAGGAGTAACCTTGGGTCATCTCTCATAGAACTGAAGAGACAGAAACTAGTGTGGGCAGAGGGAGACATCAAACTCTCAGGTAAGTCCACAACAGGCTCAGCTAACCCCATGGGGAAATCTGGAGTTTGAACGCTTTGGAGATGTCCCCTGCTGAGCTGAAATGCCATATCTTAATACTCCTAAATCTACCAGTCATTAGATATAGCTCAGGGAAGGAGCATGACCTCAGGTGAAACGATCCATAAGTCATTGTAAACTGCCAACAATACTGGAACAATAAAGTCCTTCATTGAAGGGAGTCAAGTGGTACCTCACAGCATCTGCTGCGTGGATAATCCTCCTCCTGGGGACTATCCACACTACACCCTCTTCCCACATCCCCCTACCCCACCCCACCCCAAAGAGAAATTGACATGGAGAGGGGAGGAACACTGGCAAGAGAAGAACACTTTTCCCATGGCGTTAGAAAAAAGAAGGACATCTGGGAGTCCCATCACTCATTTCCTCTCCCTCCAAACTTATGACCAGCCTCTCAATTAATATTTGAGCCTTCTCATTACCCTTCCAGACCACCCCAACCCTGCCTGTGAATCTTTGGTGGTGATTTTGT